GGGTTTAGGGGTAGTTATGAGTGGGGCTCTACTTGGAGGTTTCCTGGCTAGTTATACGTGGGTCATAACTAGTCTAAGTATAATTAAAGCCCGTATTGGAGGGGACTTACGGCTGATGATGTAAACCCGGCGTTACCCATAATAAGGAATATACCNNTAATTCCCATAGTTTCGGGTCCTTTAGGTAATGCAAAGAATTTATATCATCAACCGTATAACCACTTACAACTACCCAAGCTCTCGACCCCCTGAGCCCTAATTCTTGGATCTTCAACACCCTATTGTTCGAATAGCTTAGGGTTTAGGGTTCAGGCTTTAGGGTCTATCTCCCAGATTTGTTGTTCCAGTGCTGCTTAGGTAGTTCTCTAAATTAGGGTCCCTTTTGGGGTCCTTTTTATAAGGGTGCCGACTTCTAATTCAAAAAACAGGGACGCTAATTTAGAGAACTACCATGGGATAGCGGGGTGGAGCTTCTGAAGATGGCTCCAGGGTTTAGGGGGGTGTACCTGGATCCGAAGGTTTAGGGCTTATAGGGCTTTAGGGCTTAGGGTTTATAGGGTTTAGGGTTTTCGGTTCAGGGCTCATAGGGTTTAGGGTCCATAGGGCTCACAGGGCTTAGGGTTTAAGTCCAGTAAAAAAAATTAAAATATGATATTTTGGGTTAAGGACTACGGTACGCCTTCTTACGTGCAACAATCTTTTGCTCGAAGGACGGGTCAGCCTCAAGTGGGTTTAGGAGTTTAGGGTTTACGGTTTAGGGTTTAGGGCAGCAAACACAAAAGAGTCTTCCACACCTGCCGGCACGAGCAACTGCAGCACCAAAGCCGAAAGTCATGATTCAAGCTTTAGGCGTTAGGTTTCGGGGTGTAGGCCAGCAGAGGTTAACGCCCCCAGAGCACCTGTGACGCAGGTCTGCTCAAAGCAACACTGACGAGTTTAGAAGAAACCTCGACAAACCTTAAAGAGGAAAACTATCAAATTCGGCGCCAAACTGCACCTAGCCGCCTAGCCCCGAAACCCTAAACCCTAAACCCTAACCCCTAAACCCTAAACCCTAATCATCTATTAAATCCTGACTTCATGCGAAGCAGAGAAATCCCCGCAACCCCTGTGAGGCTCCGAACCCTCGGAAGCTCCATAAAAGTCACCAACGAACGGTTTAGGGTTTAGGGTTTAGGGTGTAGGGTTTAGGGTGTAGGGTTTAGTGTTTAGGGTTTAGGGTGTAGGGTTTAGGGTTTAGGGGTTAGGGTTTAGGGTTACTGGCAATACGGTTGATGATAGAAATCCTGCATCACTCATAATAAGGAATATACCATAGTTCCCATAGTTTAGAGTCCCTAAGGTAATGCAGGATTTCTATCATCAACAGTACCTCCCCCATGGTCCTGCATAACTACAGCCTGCATCCAATATTGCTATGATTATGAAGGACCTCGTTGACATCCACGCCCCTAAACCTTAAAGCCTGAACTCGTAAATGAAGGCAACCTTAATGACACCGACAACCATAAACCCTTAACCCTTAACCCTAACCCCCCCCCCCAAAAAAAAAAAAAAAAAGGGGGTCAAGCTTTAACTCTGCTTTCGCAGCAACAGACTGCGTTCAGGCCAGCGGCTGGTCCAGACCACCCTCTGCGCACTGGACGGCCACAGACACGAGGCGTGCGACGCCTTCATCGAGGGTGCTACCATGATTACCGCCCCTACCCACTTCTGATAGTGCGTGAGGAAGACAAGACAATCAAATACTAACAGCAGTAGCAGCAGCAGCCGCAGCAGCAGGCTGGCTGGTCCAAAATTATTGCGACTCACGTGCATGCGGCCTTCGTCGCCTCCCGACTGGCGAAGCTTCAACAGGCCGTCCAGGAGGGGCACCTCAAGTAGAAATTCGTACATGCCGGGAGAATCTCTCGTCTCCCTGTCTGTAATGGCTCCGAGCCCCTGATGCCTGCCCGACCCTCCCGCCTGTTCGTCGCTATCTTGCGCTCGGAGGTCGGCGCGAGCACAGAGAAGGGCCCACATCGCCCGCTCATGGCCCCGTGCCATGGCTTCGTGCAGGGGCGTCCGGCGCGTCTCGGGCTCCCTGTGGTTCACGTCCGCGCGGAAGGCCAGGAAGACGCTCACCAGGTGTGCGTTGCCGGCTTTGGCGGCCTCGAAGGGGCGCGTCGAAGGTACGACGGCAAGAGCAACACCCCGCTTGGCGTCTAGAGCAAGAGCAGCGCAGTCCTTGTGAAGGAGGCCTTTCTTGCCGTCATTCAGCATTACCTGGCTTTCGGGAGATTTTCTCCGGTTTCGCCCCCTACCCACGAGAGACTTTTTCTGGCCCTCAGCAACCCTGACAACTCAGAAACCTCAGTCTCAGCCTCTGGAAACCGCCCTCCCAACTCCGAAGGAAGGCACGGCGATCCTGGAGTTGGGCGTCAGCAGTGGAGCCCAGGTTCTCCTCGCAGGCTCGGCTTCGAGAGCTTCTTGGCTCGGTCCGTCCGGGGCTTTGTGAAAGCGTCACAAACGGCGCCAGGGCCCCGCAAAATTCCCGGTCCTTGCCCCACTGCAGGATGTTGCGGCACCTCTCCACCGCATCCGGCTCCGCCACGGCTGCCATGACCTTTCCGCGGCTGCCCTCGAACCAAAACCCGAGCGAGCGAAGGAGCTTAAAAGGCAACACCCACCCCTGATCCTGGCCGAGGCTCCTCCCGGGAGACCTCGAAGGATCGGTGCCCCGCGTTCTCCTTCACGTGCAGCATCCACTTCGTGTTCAGCCTCCAAAGGACACCGCGGGCGGCTCCAAAAAGGCTCTCAGAGTTGAGAGCTGAAGCAAAAAACCAGCGCATGGCGGGCGCAAGAACACCCCGAAGGGCAAAGCAAGGCTTTGCCACCTCTCGTGCTTTCTTCAAGCAAGTTCGGAAGAATGCGCACTCTGCACAGGTCTAAAAGTCGTACCCCGAAGCTGTACGACAGCCCGGAGAAAGCAAAAGCGAGCGCTGAGTTCCCTCCGTGCAGGCGAGGGGCTGCAGCTCGCAGACCATGTCTTGGATGCGGAGGCTCAGCTGAAGGTCCTGGGACGGGGTTGCATTCGGCTTCGGGCGCTGGACGGAGTCTCCCTTCTCTTCAACTGGTACGGAGCCTACTACGGAGCGGAGGAGGGGCGAAGTTGCGTAGCCTGCATGCTTGTCGGGCTGCCGCGTGCTGCCCCTGTGAAGTGGCACAGTGCAGGCCTTCTGCCGTTCAGCCAAGCATCGCGATACCCGTCGAGCGGGTTCATATAGCGGTCGTTAAACTCGATGATGTCGATCTCCTCGTCTTCATGGATTGCTTGGAGACCTTTGTACCTCGGCGGGCTCGCACATACCTTTACAGCTGCAGGAGATGCTGCAAGTGAGCTTTCCCCTTTTCCAAGGTCCCCACATGTCGTGCAGATTTTTGTAAACGATGGTATCCCTCACGATGTCGGTCAATCTGTGCCACGAAATTTCACCCTTCTTGTCCTGCAAAGGGAGCATGGGTGTGATGAAAAAGCGTCTTCGGATTCCTCTCCGTCCGGACAGGAAGGCATCAGACCAGAGCTCTCGCTCTCTCTCTAGGGCACCCTTGCTGGAAGACCCGGAGGCGAGGTGCCATATGAGAACCCAGGAAACTCGCTCTCTTATCTTCTGAGCCGGCGTCCTTGTACTTGAACTGCGCTTTTTCCCGACACCTTGGCATGCCTTTCAGTTTCGGCTGCACGTTCCGGCCGCCGGTGCCCTTTGCCACCGCCCGCACTTTGGCGAAGAAGATCGGAGCTCTCTCCTCTTGCAATCTCTTACGCGGCAGCGTCCGGGCACATGAGAAACAAACCCACGCTAGTCAGCTAGGTGAAAGCAAACTATTCCAAGCATGCTTGGAGACATTTGAGCAGCTGAAGGAAGCCGATCTGTGCGCGTGCGTGTTGGTAGTCCTTGCAGAAGTCAAAGAGCTCCTCCAAGGTGTTCTGGTACCTTGCAAGCAGAATGCACAGAATTTCGCAGATTCGGCCAGCCCTTCATCTCGGGCCTGCAGAAGAACCTAGCAGGAGCTTCTCAGAGATCATCAGGGAGGAGGCTTCACACAGGAAGAAGGCTCTCTGCGGACGGAGCTGCGGCTGATAGTTCATCTTCGTGGAAAAGGAGCGCCGCTTCTGCCAGTCCTTGCCCATCATCTCCACGAGCTCCTTCAGCAGACAGGCTTGCTGCTGGGAGCTGGGGGGGAACCATTTCCTCAGCTGCCCGACACATGATGGGGTTCATGTCAAAGTGGCACTGGCATGTGCTGGCATTTGCGCGTGCCCGGGAGGTTGCAAAGGGGCACTTGCTGGACGCAGGGGTGGCGCAGTGCGTGGCCTTGTCGGGCTCGTATATCTTCTTCAGCTTCCCGCTGAAGTCCTGGAGTCGGTGTTGAAGAGCGGCGATGCTCTGAGAAAGTGCACAGGTGCTTCAGGCTTTAGGGTTGAGAGTTCTGCGATTGCAACAGCCCACAAGGCGGACACAAAGTCCCTGAAGATGCAGGGGCCCGCTACCACCCGCCATTCCGAACTCCAACCATGCCCTCTGATGCCCTCTGCTTTTGAATGTAGATAGGAGGTGCCATGGTGGTGCTGAATCCGACGGGATGCAATGCACAACAAGACCAACCCCGTCCTCGTAGTCACGCAGTCCCGTCTCCCCTCCAGAGAGCTCCTGAGCCGTGGGTCAAGTTGCAACGGATAGTCGGGGGCTGAGGATTTCCAGGCCAGCAGGGTTGTCAGCTCGTTTGCCAGGCATGCTGCTGAGCATAAGACCCCGGCTTTACCATGCACAAACACACAATCGTATACTACGCCCCTTTCCGCCGAATGGATACTCGAATTAAACATTCTCTTCTCCGGCGCCTCAGCTCGGGCCAAGGCACCAAGGCCGCGTCGTAGGTCGTGGGCATCGTGGCCGGGTCCACTTCTTCATCGTCGTCCCTGCGAGCGTCGGCGAAGCCACCAGCCCCAAGGCTCTTTCCCCAAAAAAGGCTTTTCCTGGGCCCGGCCCGGCCTCTCCGGCGCCTTTGGCTCCTGGGCTTTTTCCGGCTGCACCTGCTGCTCGAGCCGCGACAAGCGGCGCTCCAGTCGGGCCATCTCTCCGCCTTCCATGAGCTTTGCCGGCCGGTTTTTCCAAAGTAGCTACATAGAGAGAGTGGCTCTGGACCCTGCAGCTGGCTTTGGGGGAAACCTGGTCTTGCCTTGCTGATGTTGGGGGGACGACTTGGGAGATTGATGGACTTGCGAGACATCATGACGAGGAGGGCTCCATTTAGAAATGCATGATTTCGCAAAATGGTTACAAACAAAATACTCTGGTTTTGGACATAAGCACGATTGTACTATAGCATACTACACCTAGCACACTTGCTAACTTCTCCGATACTCCACGGAGGCTTTGATGCTATGTGAAGCGTCCAACCGACCGTCATGGCAAATCTGCCCTAAGGCGAAGGCTGGCCGGGCAAGAGCCCACGTCCCATTTCTGGCCCCACAAACTCCGAGGGCGTCCCTACAACCAGGAACTTCTCAAGTTCCGGCCTCCTTCGGGCTGTGCGGCGGCACCGGCGCCTGACTTCAGCCTCTGGACCTCTGCGGACAGCATGGCGATGGTGGCCCCCATCTTGCAGAGCAGCGCCGTGGTCTTAGTCAGCGAAAACTGAAAACCCAACCTCCCTCCTGAAACCAGAACCATCTAGGCCAAGCTCTTGCTAAACCATACAGAATGCAATTTGCAGCCCGGTTGCGTGGCCGCTGATGGCCAGGAGCCATTCCTGCCTCTCCTCCTCCGTTGATGCCGCCAGGCGCAGGTGCGTCAACGTCGGCTCTGCTTGCACGAAGTTCGACACTTCGAAGGCGTAGCCCTCGGACTCCGGCGGGAACTTCTCGTGCTCTGGCTTGGCGGAGCCGGTGGCTCCCAGCATGAGCCGCGCTTGGCACTTTCCAGTGACGCCGCCGAAGGTCTCGAGAATGCCGGGGCCGAGCAGAACGAGGACCTTCTCCCAAGTGTCCGTACGGGGCTGGTACTGCCACAACTGGCTGCGCTTGAAGGGCGCTTGCATCTGCGCAAGGCCGGTCATCGCGAAAGGCAAGTCGAAGTCCTGATGGGAAATCGAACCAGTGAAGCATAAAGCAACCGATCCACGATCCTGCATGGGAGATCTTGGGATACACGTTCAAGCATACTCTGGTCCGTCCTGCATGCCGGTGCCGCGGTCCTGCAAAGGCTCCCAATCGATTCGATTCCACAGGAGCGCCGAAAAACTCCAAAGCAATGCCAGAAGAAGCAATGCAGGCACTGCAAGAGCATAAGAAAACCGTGGCTTCAACTCTGCTGGACCCCAAAACGCGCCTCGGCCCTTGCGCTGGTCTGGGAATCCAGCACATCTTGTGCCGTAGCTGAACGGGCTTCCGCTGGCTTCGGCTTGAAAGCTGCTTTTCTGCCCCGGAAGGAGCACAGACCCAGCTCCCGACAAAAACCTCAGAGGCTTCATCCGGCTTGCGCTTCCGTCCGGCCCTGCCCCAAGCAGATCCCTGCTCTCGGTGCCTCGGCCACATTGGTGCCGCCGTGCGAAGCCGCTGAAAGCTCGCCTTCCAGAGCTGACAGCTCCTGCGCAGGAGCCCGAGATCCCCGCAAAGGCGCTCCGCGAAAGCTCGCGGCGAGATACGTCGCGAACTGCTCTCAAACCTCTCACGGTAGAGAGCGCCCCCCGGAAGCGAAAGTTTTGGTCGGGGAAAGAACGCCACCCCAGCAGGGAAGATGCGAAAGAAGAACAAAAACTGAACAAGCACTACCACCCACCCCTCCCAACAAATAAGTCGCGCAGAGTTTCCCGGAAAGGCGGCTCCTGCTTCAGGGCTTGGTTGCGGCGGCGTAAGGACATCTGCCCGGGGTGCTGCGGGGCTCGCTGGCGGAGCCAGTGGACCATGAAGCCTTCCGGATCCTGGCGGAAGAGATGTGAAAGAGCTCTCGGATGAGAGCTCTCTGTCTGCTGGCTTTGGGCCGCCGGTCATGAAGCTCTGCAACTACATGGTGCGAGCTGCTGGCAATGTGCAAGGGCAGTCGATAGAATAAGAAGTTCAACCCGCCTCGGGCAGGATCGACAGCATGTCCATGGCGAGGTCCGTCGTCAGCGGCTGCATCACCGCCTTCAGATAGGACTCCACGGACTCTGACGCCATGGCCACAAAGACGATAGGCGGAGAGGCGGAGGGGAGGCCAAAGCACAGAAAGTCGGAGGAGCTCTCGAGCAAGAAAACGAGCACATGGCGGCTCCTCCAATCCAAACGTGCTCGATACAACCGCAGCGCTCACGGAAGACTGCTACTGTACGATGATTCTGCTTCTCAGCACTGTTTTTCGTTCGATAGCACGACTGTTCTTACCATCACTTCTCCTAAACCCTTATGGCTCTTTTTTTCGGACCCCTTAAAGGAACCCTTAGAGGAAGGACCCTAATGCCGCTCGCGGGCGGACGCTGCGCTTGGCGTCGAGCCGCTGCTTCGGAGCGAGGACCGCCGCTGTCAGTACTCCTCGCTGCAACTACGTTCGCCTAACTTTGATACTGTTGATGATATATAAACCGTGCAGTTATACCCTATAAGCACCCTATAAACAATGTGAACGATGGTCTATTCCTTGTTATGGGGTATTGCAGGAGTCAGAGCATAGCTCGCATATTCCATCAGCGACGGTCCTTCCCGCGCCGCTAAGAACCGGCTCTTTGCAAGAGCATGGTCTGCTCTGTGGAGCTCGCTGGCCCGGATACTTACTGGGTTCTTGTTAAGGAGTTTAATTTATTAGGTTATCGTCATAAAGATGTATAGCAAAAGAAATAGGGTTTCTATATAATGGTAACTGAAAAATAAATCCTTAACAAGAACTCAGATTAAGAGTCTGCAGTGAGATGCAGGCGGCTGTACTCTTAGGTCTTGCAGTGAGCTTGGAGGGAGCTTCAAATCACAAAAGGGAGAAGCCAGACCTCTCACCACCACGTTGGGAGTGAGGGCAGGAGACTCCCTCAGACCTCTTGCCGTTCGCCAGTTCTCTTGCAGTTCGCCAGTTCGCCAGCTCGCGGCAGTCCTCCTTTGCAAGCTTTCGAGGTTAGAAAAAGCAACACACCGGAGGAGCCGTCTTGCGCTTGCCGCCTGCCTTTGAAGCAGATAGGCAACAGCCATGGGATCTCATGTGACAGACGGAGCTCCTTGGCCCGCTTCAGCTTGCTGTGAGATGCTGGCAGCCTCAAATTCGACTTGGCTCTTCGCCTCCACAGAGTTGCTGATACACCGAAAAAAGGGTCTTGCAATCTGCCATGTCTCGCCCAGTGCTTCAACGGCTTAGGCTAGGAGTTTCAGAGAACAGAAGACAAGCTCCTGGAGCTGGTCATAAGCTCATGGAGCCTTGCGTGCTGCCTCCCTTTTGACGAAGATGTGCAACAGCTATGGGATCTACTCGGATGCGACACCAATGGTGGCCCTGGACACGGCCTTGCTCGTCTCACACGTTGACGGGCAGCGAAACATCGATGGATGCACAGGCGGAGCCTGCATTGCGCGGGGCAGGTTCCAGGGCTCGTCGGGCTGCAAAGCTTCAGAACAGATTAACAATCATCATCTTCTTCTCCATCTTCGTAGCCGTGGTGACAATAACAACACAAACCAACAACAATTAATACTACTTCTT